AGTTGGTCGAAAATGAAGTATTTGGCAACGTCTGCGTTGGGCATCAAGTCGCTGCGCCATGGTGAATAAGACGACGTGGACGTGCAATGACAAAAAGACATGGGCTACCTCCGATCCGGTCGAGACCATAGAGTCGATCGAACTCTTGGCGCTCAACGTCACGACGAACCGCTTTCCGGCAGAGGGCTGCACTGCTGAAGGTGCACCGACGCTGAATGAGAAGTTGTTCGAGAAGGTGAAGAGGCTCAACGTGTACGATGCGTCCACTCATGTCGACACTGCGTCCTACTCACTTCTCTCTCGTGTAGGATCGAGTGGTCCATGCCGGGCTTTGATGGGAGTATGCTGCCGCCGATGCCCAACTTGAACGAGCTGTACGCCGTGCTTCGGACTTTGCACATGGATGCTAGACGCTACGTAGGCACATCAACGCCCTTCAAGTCGACACAAATGTGAGCCTCTGCACGCTTGCCAACCTGACCACCGTCAATCTTGCCCAGCCATCCAACACTGATGTCGTTGTGCATGTCCACGACAAGACTCAAGTACTTGCGGGATTAAAGCTGCAGAATCGAACGTGGACGAAGAAGCTGTGCCCCCTCGAGACAGCGCAAACGCCCAATCTAACCACAGTCGGTCCAGCACCCTCGCCAGTAGTCCCGGAAGGGTCATCGACGCCCCTGTCGGTCGATCCAACAAAACCTCCGCCTGCTCCGGCGTCGTCGTCCAGCAGTGGCACAACCATCGGGCTCGCGGTGGGCTTCTCGGCAATCGCACTCCTTCTCGCGGCCATCATCTTTGTCCGGCGCCGCCGCCGGTCGTCGTCAAAGGACGATGCCAACGCGTACCACGAGTTCCAAGATCGTACGCTCATCGCTGGTGGTAGCCACGAATCGATCGTGATGGACCCGCCCGTCTCGGCCTCGGCGCCGCGCAGCAAGCTCCAAGACCACCCGGTGCTTAAGGCGCACTGGCGCGCCGACCTCATGGACGCCAAGAGGACGGTCATGCGTGGCAGCCACGACATGCTTTGGTGTCGCGACGCGTCCGGCGCCAAGCTCGCGCTCAAGTCGCTCGACCTCACGACGGCCAACTCTGCGGTGCAGACGGCGTTCGTCGCTGGCTTCCAGCGCATCTCGTCGTTGCAGCACAACCACCTTGGCCGCGTCCTTGGTGTATCGGTCGTCAACTACGACGCAGCGCTCGTCCTTGCCACGCCGTACTGTGAAAAGGGCGCGCTGAGCTCTGTCCTCCATGACGTCAAGGTCGAGCTCGACACAGCGGCGTCGCTTGTGATCTGTCGCCACGTCACCCTCGGCCTGCAGTACCTTCACGCCCAGGGCTGCGTCTATGGCCGCGTCTCGACAAGCAAGGTGCTCCTCGACGAGCACTTGAGCGCGTCGCTCAACATTTTCGCGCTTCTGGCGCCGATCCACGCGCGGTCCTATGCCCCGGAAACCTCGTTTGGCGCCTTTGCACTCGCTGCCACCGCGCCCGAGCTCCTCATGTACCAGAGCGGACACTCGCCTGCCAGCGACGTCTACGCCCTCGGCATGCTGCTCGGGGAAGTCTTCATGCGCGTCCGACCGTACGCCGCGCAGCAGCAGACGCTCGGCCTCGTCGGCGCCGACCTCGAGCTTCTGCGTCAAGTCAAGAAGGGCCGCCGGCCGCCGTTCCCGTTCGATGAAAAGGCGCTCACAGCCGCAACGTCGGCTGCCTTTGTGGCGCTTATCAAGGCGTGCTTGCACCTAAACCCGAGCAAGCGCCCGACCATCGACGACGTGGTCGCGCGGCTGCGGCTCTAAGCCTTCGATACACCTAATTGATATACATGTATTAGCCTCGATACTGTAGTACCCAAAGAAGCCTGCTTGCATGCCCTGTCCCTGGAGGACCATGATGCTAGTAGGTCGCTTGGAGCTGTCGCTTGGCCGTGTGTGTCTCTGTCGCTGCGCCATCGCGATCTGCGTGTTTTGGCGCGACTGGAATCAGACGGCGTTGAAGGCGACCTGCACCGTGGGACGACCACTGTGGCTGCGTCGTTATCGAACATCGGGTCCAACACGCAGGCCATCCAATCGTTCGAGGATCGAGGTGGCGTCTGATATCACACACGCCGCCGCAGAGTGGCACGGCGCTGCGTCATGGGCGTGGAGCGGGTGGGCGCCAGCGGGAGAACCCTCGTCCATCGGTTTAGATACCGTCGTCGCGACACGTACGCGGGTGTAATACATCGATCAAGGATCTCGTCGTCGCCGGTATCTTTGGCGTCCTCGCTTCCGTGCGCCCGTGTTGCAGCCGGCGTCGCCTCGCCGGGACCGCTATCGCCGCCCGCCATGCTCGCTGCCACGTAGCGCCGGCCACGCCCCGCATGGTGCTGCACCTGGATGAGCCGCTTGCCCATCCTCGGGCGCCGGCGGCAACGCGCTGCTGGCCGTCATGCGACGGAGATCCCACGGGATGGGACACTTCCTGGCGTCATACGGATACGCTGCCAAATTATCCGGAGGTGAGTGAAACGTTGCCGGAAGCGGATGATTTCTCCATTTCCGCGATCGACCGAGCGCCCGCGATGGCCGTCCGTCTCTGGGCGACGTCCGAGGACCTCGGCGCCATGAACCCGGACCTCGCTTGGTACATGACGATAGAAGGCGGCTTCTTCTACGCGGTGCATGCGTCGGAACCCGGGTACTCCCTGGAGCAGCTCAAGCAGCTCTTGCGGCCCGTCCTGTCCCTGCGCATGTAGGCTCGAGCTGCGACGACGTGCCAAGTCACCCAACATGCATAGGACCTTCCTCGCCACTATCGATGCCATCTCGCCGTTTACGCTACCAACGACGCTCTTCCCGCGTCTCCGTCATGCGTATGTAGCGATGGCGACGACTTGTCCGGACTCATGCCATGTAGCGAGTTTGTCAACGTCTCGAGCGCTGCACTCCTTGCACCGTTTACAAACAATGGCGCGATCAGTAGCATGTACGTGCAGCGACCCTTCTCGAACATGCAACCGATCGTGGTCCAGGCAGATCGCCGACTCGAACTTGCCAGCGCTCGACCTCTCGCGCTATACCAACCTCTCGACCCTGTATGTACACAACTGGGTATCGCCACGCATCTCATGCGACTGCACGTAGCACCCTCATCACCGTTCGATGCGATGCTTCCCCGATCGTATTACCGACGTCCTTGGCGCCGCCCCGTCTCGCCATGTACGTGTTGCCGCATTCGCCCTTTCACCAGCGTCGATTGAACCGCTGGTACAACTAGCAACATGACCTCGTCCAACGCTCACTTCGCCTCCCTTGGCGTCGCACGGGCGTACGCTCTCAACATGTAGCCCTTCTTGCACTCTCTGATGCGACCAAATGTGCTCACGGCGTCATCTGCTGTAGCACCACCGACTCGGTGGACAACTGCCGGGCACTTCAACGCACGTCGTTCGAGCCGAGTACAACCACACCCCGATGCCTTTGTGTCAACACCACCCTCGTGTGTCCCACAACCCCTACGATCCCGACACCCCCGACGATTGCCTTGCCGACAAGTGGAAGCGCGTCGTCGCTGCCATCAACTGCCGTCGCCTCGGCCCTCTCGACGGGCGCGATCGTTGGTGTCGTTCTCGGAGCGCTTGTGTTTCTCTGTCTTCTCATCAGCCTCGCGCTCTACTATCGGCGGCAGCACAAGACGCTCAAGGCGCACGTGTGGGCATCAAACTCGAACCCGTCGTCGCCGAACGAGGCGTACCTCGAGGTCCGGTCGCCGCACCAGCGCGTCATCTCGCTCGTCGCGTCGCTGCCAGACCCGTGTCAAGTCTTTCGCGACGCCTTCCCGGACTTTACACTGCCGCTCGAGAAGGAAAAGACGTCCAAATTGGCCACGAGCCGGTCCATGCGGCTCTGTTATAGCAACGGCGCCAAGCTCGCGCTCTTCCCGATCAAGGTCACCGCGTCCGACAAGGCTGCCTTTATCCAGCGCGTGCAAATGCTCCGAGATCTCCCACCCCACCGCCACCTCGTGGCGCTTCTCGGTGTCTCGGTCATCAACTTCCGCACCGAGTTTGCGGTCGCCGTCCAGTTTGCCGATCGCGGCAGTTTAGCGCATGCGCTGCACCATGGACCGCCCGTGCCCGCACCACTCGAAATGGCCCATGGCATTGCATCCGGTCTCGCCGCGCTGCATGCGCAGACCGTGTGCTTTGACGGGCTCACGCCCCATCGCGTGCTCGTGGACAAGGCGTTCACATGCCTCCTGGATACACTCCACCTGCTCCGCACGCCGCACCACCACCACAATGCCCTTGTGTCATTTGGATCGGACAACATGGCCTACATGGCCCCCGAGGTGCTGCGGGGCGAGCCTACGACAGTCGCGGCCGATGTCTATGCGCTGGGCATGCTCCTCGGCGAAATTTGGACGCGGACACGACCGTACACCGCGCTCCTGACCGGCCACGGCTTTGTGCACTGCGATATGGTGCTGCTCGCCGCTGCCCGCGACCATGTGCGTGTGCCTCCGTTCGACATGGTCTCGCACGCCGGCGTTGCTGCGGTCGTTGCCATGTGCACGGTCGACGACGTCACCGCGCGGCCGACTGCCGAGGGCGTCGCCGATGTGCTAGTCGACCTCGTCCGTGCGTCCGAAGCGTCGTCGTCGCGTCTGTCATCGTCGCCGCATCAACTATAGTCTGCTACTCTTAATCGTATCGTCGTCTCCCGTGCGTCGCCTCGTGTCCCGCTCTCGCAGCGACAGGAGCCCTCGCTGGCGTCGTAGTCGAGCACGCCGCAGGCCTTGACGCAACCTCGCATGTCTACGATGGACACCCTGCGCCATGTTGCGTCCATGGCAGCCGTATGGTGAGTGTCGCCATGTGGCCATGCTGCTGTCGTCGGTCACCATGGCGTCGATGAGCGCCCTTGGTCGGACGACGTCGGTCGTTCTGTAGAGTTACTGCCTTGACGCATGGCGGGTCGAGCTTGCGCGCCGTGCGTTCGCGTCCAACGATGCGGTCGCTTGACGGCAAATGCACTGCGAACACCCAACGCGCCGACGTTTCTTTGGCGCGGCGCTGGCACCTGCGTCGCACGGGGTTACTGGCTCTTCTCTGTACAGTACGGGACCTTGTGCAAAATAAAAAGCCGACCGGCGCACCCAACACGCCGACAGTGTCCCATCCCGATCCGCTTGCCGTCAGAAGCGAATCGATCGGACGATGGCGGCAACTCCTCTTGGCCGATTGGGTAGCAGTAGTACGGCGGCGCAGACACGCAGCGCGTGCCCGCGCGACCGGTGGCTCCCCGACAGTGCGCGCTCCCACTGCAGCTGCTGCGGCAAGGCCTTTGCGCTCCTGCGACGGCGCCACCACTGCCGCGTCTGCGGCGACATTGTGTGCGGCAAGTGCACGACCCGCGTCCTGTTGCGGGACTGCGCCATGCGCGCAGGCAAGTCGTGCGTCGCCTGCGCAATCGTGACCGACACGAACGACATGCTCGACTTGGCCGCCGGCATGGAGAAGCGCCCGACGTGCCCGATGTTTGTCGACCTCTTGCCGTCGAGAAAGTGGAAGGACGTGCACAAGGAAGTCGCCCACCGCGCGTGCTCGATCTGCCTCGACGACTACCGCGGCCTCGACAGCGTGACCTCGCTGCCCTGCCACCACGCGTTCCACACCAAGTGCATCACGCCGTGGCTGGCTACCAACGACGAGTGTCCAATGTGCAGGTACACGCTGCCGCGCGACGTGTGCTTTACGCGCTCGGACGCGCTCTTTGTCGCGTCCGAGTAGCCTTTATAGTATACTAGTTGTTAGTGTTTCCTTCATCTGAGTCACGGGCTGGACGAGCGAGAGCCAAGCGAGAAGCGTCGCCAGAGGCGAGGAGGCTGTCGGTCGAGTCGCGAGGAGGAGCTTGAGGCAGCTCGCCGTCTCGCACGGATGCAGCATGTAGCACGGTGTGCTAAGCACCGGATGCTCGTCTTGGCTGATGAAATGGTCCACGTTGATGATCGACGTGCACCGATTTGCGGCCGCATGCACCTGCGCGCGCACGGTCGACGTCGGAACGGGCCGCCCATCTGCATCAACCACATCGCAACATGGGATGGATGCGCAGGCGCGTTGGCGTACCTGGCGTCGTCGCGCGTAGGTAGAGCGTCGGCGCTGCGTACGTGAGGCTGTACACGACGTGGTAGTCGACCAGGACTTTGTCGGTCGGTTGTGGCGCAAGGGCGACGTCGTCGTCGTCATCACTGGCGCTATCGTGTACATCCACAGCATGCACAGGCGCTACGCAGTGGCGAACGTTGTTGGCCGAGACGAGGAAGCCCCAGCCTGGCAAGATACGCTACACGGCCATGAGCGTCATCGAGAAGCGTGTGACGTACGTGCAGCGCATGGCCTGCCGGAGCGTTCTCCCATCGCCAATTCGAGCTGCTATGAAGGTCATGGTCGTCGGCGTGGAGGCGCTGCTGGAGGCTAACGAGAGCGTCGGCGCCGGCGCGGAACTCGGCCCATGTCATTGCCATGCGGATACGCAGTCAAATCTAGGGAACTGAAAATCATGCAAGTCCATACAAATATTAAGATGGATTAAAATGTGTAAAATAATACCAGATCGGCTTGAAGACGATGGCAGCTCCGATCGCAGCCGAGGGCGACGGTCGCCCGGCGCTGAGCGTCTTCCATACGCGCCGGCTCCTGCAGGTGATCGAGCTGCCGCTCGACAACTCGGACGAGACCAACGTCATCAGTGGCTTTGCGTCGCGCTGTGCGGAGAAGAAGCAGTTCCAGGCCTTCTACTGCGCGGACAAGACGCTCCTTCTCCGGTCGCTCGAGGAAGATCTGCACCCGCGCTTTTGGCGCGTGCCATGGAACCTCGCGCTCGACCGCATCGCGCAAGCCTCGCCCTTCTTCTCGACGGCAGCGCCGACGCTGCTCCAGGGCCCGCCGAGCTCGTCGTCGTCCTTTGGCATAAGCCTCCCCAACCCGCTCTCGTTTGGCGACGAGATGCCCTTTGCGTCGACCTCGTCGCTGCCGCCCCACTCGGCGTCGTCGACGCAGTCGGCCGCGAGCTACGCGACAAATGGGCAGCAGGTCGTCGCGCTCGAGTTCTCGCCCGAAGGCGACTGGCTCGTGGTCGTAGTCGCGTGGGGGCACAAGATGTTCCTCCTCCTCCTTCCCGTCGCCGCGCTCGTCGCCCGCGAGCGCAAGCTCACGCTCCAGGTATGCATTTGTCGCTATCCATCGCACCCTCAACCTGCACGCCGACCAGATGCATCTCAAGGACGTGGCACCCGGCGATCTCATGAGCGTTGCGCCGAGCCCCATGGCGACGCAGGTAGATATCCACCTCGAATGCATCTGCTGCATATGCTCCTTAGATGATGTCGTACCTCCGTGCGCACGGGCACAACGGCGCCAAGTACAAGTCGACGGTCGCGGGCGACGCCGAGGACTTGAGCACTCTGGAGTTTTCGACGGGCATGACGACGCCGACGTGCGTCGTGTGGTGGCGGTCGTTCAACGGCAACAACTACGTGCTTGTCGGGTCGAGCAGCGACCTCATCTCGATCGTCCACGTGGCGACCAACCAAGAGACGTGTCGCTGCGAGCTCTCGGGTCAGCCGATCTTTTTTTGTATCAACGTATCAACTCTCAATCTCTCCATAGGCAAAATCCTCTCGATGGACCTGGTCCACGACGAGGAAAATGCGACGACGCTTCTCGTCGCCACGCGCAAGCACAAAAGCGTGCAGTACTACAAGGTGCTCCTCGAGCGCCGGGCGAGTGACGGCGCTGTGTGGACGTTCCCCGAACACTTTTTGGACGACAAGTCCTTCCGCCCGCAGCGCCTCAAGCAGTACCAAGACGCGTCCTTGCTTGTGGTCAAGGACCTCTTTGCGCGCTCGTCGGGGCTCGTGGCCTTGGACGCCAAGGCGCAGACGATCACGACGTTCGCCGACTTGACCTGGCGCCACGAAGCCAACTATGCGCTGCCGACACTCAACATGTCGGACCCGCGTCTCGTGTACTGCTCGTCGCAACTGCTGCTCCTTCAGGGTAATACGCACGATGCCCAAGCGCTCGCTGTATGGATCTCCCGCCCGTCGCGCGACGAAGGTACGCGATTCGAGTCTGCCGTATCTGTGTGGACAACTTGTCGTCTGACCAAGCGTGATGTAGGAAGTAGCTCGGTGCAGGCTGCGCGGGTCGTGCACACGCTCAAACTGCGCCAAGACGAGTGCGTGCGGCGGGTCGTGCCTGGGAAAAGCCTTGGTGGCGACGAACTGCTCTTTTTTGTGCATACCGACCACCAAGTATACCCGTTCCTTTTGCAATAGTTGAATACTACTACTACTGTGTAGGTCTACGAGTGCCGGCCAAAATGGTCCCGTCTCTCGCTCTTTGAAGCGCTGCTTGAGCGCTCGATCCACGTCCAGGATGCCGTGTACATTGGCTACTCGATGGGCATCGACATGGCGTCGCTCTGGTCTGGCGACGCGGCGACACTATATCGAGTTCTGACAGCACTTGCCGTCTAGTGAGGTGGTCGCCGACACGATCTGCGCCCGCGAGCCAAGCAAGGCGATCTCGCGCAACAGCTGCGAGTGGATCATGCGCCTCTACGCCTACTCGCGCGTCTTGCCGTCGAAAGCGGTCGAGAAGCTCGTGCTCCACGGCGGTCTAGTCAACGCGATCGAGTACACCCGCGACGTTCTTCTGCGACCGGTTTCCTCTGCTTCTATACCTCGATACACGTTCCTGTCCTCATCGTCACGTAGGGCGATGCAACGTCGCATGTCGAGCGCCGAGTTCTCAGCAACGTGCTCGTGCATTCTGCCCTCCGACTCCTCGCGGAGCAAGTAGGGCGTTCTCTCTGCTTTCGATTGGTCTTCTGATGGGTGCACCTAGTTGCCAACGTCGACAAGCAGTGTGACGTGGCCTTGGCTGCTCGATTTTCTCGAATCCAACGCCGACTTTGAGACGGACGTGGCGCTGGCGGCGTGCGCCACTCACGACGCCGTCGACGCAGTGCTGCACGTCGCGATTGCACGCCACGCGATTCTCGCGGGGCTTCTCGCGCTCCAGTCGGCCGGCTTGGAGCTTTCGGGCGAGCACGTACGAGGATATGGTATGCATGATGCGTCTTATCGACTCGCCGTACTGTAGGTGTCCATGCTCTTGGAGAAGGGCCAGGCCGCTGCGCTCGTGCACGGCGCCGTGCGTGGTGTGCTTCGCCGGCTCCCGCTGCGGACGCAGATCCACGTCATGTGCCAAGCGCCGAGCAGCTTGGTGGCGCAGCGCGACTGGCTCCTTCGGACGCTTCCGACCCTCGACGAGGCAAGCGTCGTGGCGATCGCGACGGTGCTGGACCCGCGCACGGTCGCGACCAAAGCCGCCCCGACGCCCTTGGTCGATATGACGGCATACAATGAGTGGGTCAGTGACGTGGCGTCGTCCGAGCGCATGTTGGCTTCGAAAGAAGAGAAAATCGAGCTCTTTTTGACAGTGCTCCTGCGCTTGAACGCCGACGAGCTCAACGACAAGTCACCGCGCTTGCCCACGGACGCATTCTCGCAGGTCGGATTGGAGCGGTTGCTGCGGGCGTGGGCGACGCAGTACCGCCCGCCGTACCTCGTGCTGCGCTGCGTCGACTATGCAAACTGGGCTGCGGCCGCCGTCTTGTACGAAGCCCACGGCGAGTGGGTGGATGCGATCGAGTGCAAGCTCCAGCAGCACGACCTCCAGCAGTAGGAACATTCATATTGTGAGTTGCGTGGTCTTAGCCCATAAGTAGGAAGACGACGCTAACACCCTCGAGCGCCGACGAGCTCACGCATCTGTTGATGTCGCTGGTGGTGCCGGTGCCAACGCCCGAGCTGCCGTTGCCCACGAAACTCTCGCTGCTCTCGCGCATCCTCGTGCAGTGGTTTGCCTCGGGGCACACTACGTCAGAGCTGGAAGCGTTCCTGCAGCACCCCGACCACGACGGTAGCCTTCTCCTTCTTGGAAGGGGAGTAAGAACAGAGTGCTTGGCATAGGACACGTCGGGGGGCTCGTAGCGCGGATCCTCTTCTCGTCGGACGTGGCGTCGGACTTTGCCGAGCGGGACGTGCAGTGGGTCACCGAGTGCCAAAAGCTACCGTTCACGGGCGCATATGTGTTTCACTTATGCGCGCAGCAGCTGCCCGCGTATGACGTGGCGTCGCTCGCATCGACGACCGACATGCTATTGGCCAACATTGAACGCAACAGCGACGAGATCCCGCTCTTGCAGCTGAGTCGTCAAGCGACGTTAGGTCTTGACGACCCAATCGAGACGCACGCCAAAGTCTTTACGTGCGGCCACGCGTACCCCAAGCGCGTCTACGACGACGACGTCCTCCTCGTGTTTGAGAAGCGCATGGCGAGCTTGCCGGCGCTCCGACACACGACGCGCGTGCTCCTGGACGAGTACCGCCAGCCCGGGATCGTTGAAGCGCCGTGTCCTGTCTGCGCCTTTGCCCGCATGCAGGCGCTGGTGGCGCAGCAGCAGACGACCGCAGCGATCACGCGCGAACCGCCCCGCGTCCGGATCGCGACCGTGGATCAGTGGACGTGGAAGTAAGCCAAGACAACGACGATGCCTGAACGAGTCAGCAGCAGCGTCCTCATGGGCGCTGGAACGAAGGAGGCTTGTTGTGTCTTGTGTGGTGTACCAGCCGAGGCGAGGATCGCCTAATAGGAGCGAGCATGCACCAACGGACGCGACGACGCCAGACGAGTCGACGCATTGCACAGCAGAGGATAGGTCAAGGCAACTGCCATACATCCCGCATTAGTTGACATATGTTGGGCATGTAGGCGGTACCGAGAGCTGCGTTGGGGTCGTCATGTTGCTGCGCAGGCGTTGGAGCTCCGACCAAAGGATTGGCGTCGTCCCATGGAGCTGTAGAAATGTCATTGCGAAGCCACGTTTGTGCAGAAGCAGAGTACAATTGTGTATCGTCTCGGTAAGCGTCATCCAGATCCAGTGACATTGCTCGTTGGCTGACGCGGACTTGGGCGGTTCGGACACGTGGCGCTCTCCTGGACACCCCTGCTATTCGTCCTTGACGCGGATTGGTGGGATTTTGCCTTGGATCTTTTTCGGCCCAAGCTTCAATTCTCGCTGCAAAAGCGTTGCCATTTATGAACGGTCCGTCGTCGTAGTCGATGTCTAATCGTACATCAGTCGATACTGATGGAGTAAAACAAGAAGGATAAGAGGTC